ATTGTACTTGGTTTACTTATTACCAACTAAAAGAAAGATTTAACCAAAACTTGAAATATGGGAGCTTCCAGGACGCTGATCCAGACTTCATGAAGACAATAAAATCAGAAGATAATCATAGGATTAAAAATTGTTATAAAATACTATTAGCTTTTGATACTGAGGAGGAAAGGATTAAACCGCAAATGGTAAAATGGGCACAAAACTTGGGTCACCATATGCATTTGGAACAATGGGAAAAAACCTGGAACAGTAGATTAAAATATACACTAAGCAATGACTTAAAAGAAAAATTTTATAAAATGAAATTTAGATAGCATTTAACACATTTAAATTAGCAAAAAAATTATAAAAACAAAAAGAACAAATGTTGGAAATGTGAGAAAGAATTAGGTACATATTATCATATTTGGTGGGAATGTAAAAATGGCACAATGTTTTTGGAATGAGATTCATGAAGAGACAGAAAAATATTAAATATAAGAATTTAAAAAGACCCAATGAGATACCTACTAAATATGAATGTAGAAGAAAAACTAGAGACTAAATATGGTAGACTAATATTTTATTTGACTACAGAGGCCAGAATGATATTCGCTGCAAAATGGAAACAAAAAATAATATCAGATATGGAAGACTGGATTATGAAGCTTTACGACATAATGCAAAGCGATAAAGTAACGCAAACTATACAGAAAAAAACACATAAGGAATTTGAGGAAGTCTGTAATCCTTTTATTGAATATATGAAAAGAGAAAAGAATCAACAGTTAACATGAGGTCTGGAAACAAAATAATTCTCGATTAATCTTAACAAATTAAAAACAGAAAACCTAAAAAGCAAATATATCACAGACTACTTTGTAAGAAGATACACAGCTATGAGGTGAAATATAGATATATTTAAGATACATGGGATTGAGAAAGCATGATCTACACATTATTTTTCATAATCTTGTATAATCTTTATTTTCATTTTAGAAAACAATTGGAAAGATATTGGTGGTGTAACATAAATGTATAGATAGATAGATAGATAGATAATGAAAATCAGCATAAGAAATGTAATTAAGGACAAGCATGATTCAGTAGATAAGTGATGGAAGTTTATACTTGTGAGTTTATGTTTTCCTTTTCTTCTTTTCTTCTTTTTTTCTTCTTTCCCTTTTTTCTTTTTTTATGCTCCACTTTATGTGTTATTGTCTAGTGTATATATATACTATTGTGTTATTATTTGTTACTACTTGTTCTGACTGCCTGATATTTTAACTAGTTTTGATTGTTGTTGTGTAATGTTTTTTTACTCAATAAACTTTATTTTTAAAAATTAAAAAAACTCATGGTTTTGAGTTATAATACAAGATATTTTTATTTTTTAAAAAAACAAGGTTACCTTCCTTGCTCCCTGATATTGCAGTTCCATGTCACTACACCTGAAAAGAAACCACACTGAAACCAGTGGGATTTACTCCAAGGTAAGGGCAAAGAATACATCACACTTTTCTTTAGTGTGGCTATGCATTGCAGATACATAGGTTTCCTTTAAAATGTTTATTCACTTTTAGCATTTTCTCTTTTCCTGGATGTAAATATAAAACAAAACTCTTAGTCATACCCTGAAATATTTCTCTCTGTGTGTGTTTGTGGGGGGGGGGGGTTGCAATTTAGTGGAGTAGCTTGACTTTGCTTAATGTAACCAGTGTAATGTTATCTTAAATTAGATAAATAAGTAAACAAAGACAGCTGAAGAGAATATATGAGAAGGTGTCAAATGGGCCTGGTATCAGGATATTTGGGGTTCTTACTTTAAAAACCTTACCTTTGGAAAATCTCTTCTAGCTCCTTCTGGTAACATTAAAACAACCTTTTAAGAACTCAGCATTTGGTCCATGCATGGAACATTCCATTTCATATACATTTGTTTCAGATGTTAGGCTGAACAATGCAGCTTCTATTTTCTGCCATGTTATTTTCTTTAATGTCTACCAGAGCTGTCATCTGAGCAGCCTGTTGGCCTGCACTCGAACAGGTTTATATTCCAAAAAAGCCACTCAACCCCCTCTTGTATTCGCAATGGTGAAAATAAATCAATTTCATCTGCTAGTAGTTTGGTTGCTGGTGGGTTCCCCCCTCCTTCGTTCTTTCCTCCCTCCCTCCTTCCTTTGTGGGCCTCTTTCCACAATGCCATATGGCAGCTGAGAGAAAGCTAGGCCAATGATCTGCATTTTCATATCTTAACAAAGGATGCAGTAGTGTCAAAGAGCCTCATGAATGCATGAGACACAGTCATGTATAGAGAAGTGCCTCTAGACCTGTCATGGGGTGCTAAAAAGAAGCCTGATAGACCTGACATTGCTTCAGAGTACAGAAAGGCAGCCATTCTCTCTTGCTGGCTCATTTTGCTCCCATTCGTCTTCTCCCCCTCCCTTCCTCCCCTTTGGTTCCATGCCAAAATCCCATTAGCTCTATTAATGACATGTGGTCCGAAGTAAAAGCGTGTGGCAGAACAAGAAAGGCACAAGATCAACCATCTAATCTATTCATTTCTGATATGTGTATCACGAGATAGAAGTATTTCAAGAGGATCTGTGTCACAACCCTACTTTGGGAGCTCAGCTACACAAAACTCTGTGAGGAAGAGGGAAAGCATAAAAAAGGCAGTAAAATCCTTTTCAGCTGTCACTATCCTCCCTTTCTTCATCCATAAAACAAGATGAAACACAATCATTATGAAAACAGGCAATCTTGTCCATACTTAAGTTTGAGCTGCAGCCTGGGACTTTGCCTTTCCCCTCCTCTATTCCTGACAGATTTTAGATGTATTAAATAGTACCATGGAAACCACAATTTTATAAAAAGAATGTGCTAAGCACTATTCATACAGTTGTGTTGTGACTTTCCTTATATTTAAAGAAATATATCCCTCTTTGGGCATATATCTTATAATGGTACAAATACTACATTTTACAGTTGGAGCATTTTGTTATTGTTTCTGTTAATTTTTTGCAGGGCTGGCCACCGGCAAAAAAAAAAAAAAAAAAGCTTTGTGCCTTAACTCTTATTCATAATTTCCATAGTAAAATATAATGAATACAAAATAGAATATAAAATGATATTCTGGTGGAAAACGTGTAGTGTCGATTTGAAACAATTACTTCAGTGTGGCACTGAACCAAAATGCTAATGCAACAAGCCTACTGCTATTTCCATTAGTCTAGTATATATTTGGGATTTTTAAAAAGTTCTGATTCAAGTTTCCCCTTTAAAAGGTTAAGGAATGAAAAGATCTACAGTTTATGCTTGCATAAAGAAAGCCAAGCAATCTAGATGTCATTTGCAAGAAAGGGTATCAAAAGCTGGCTCTTGTTGAAAAAGCTCCTGCTTTATCATATGTTTTGGAGTATTCTTCCAACATCTGGATATGTGCTTATGTCTAACCCAAAATAACTGAGAAGAAAAATGTGCCTGAATTCAAAGAGTCTCAAGGGCAAAAGCATAGAGCTGAATCATTCTGCTGGAGACTGCTCAAAAGACAGGTCGTGTCTGTTGGTCATGGCAACCATTCCTACAAACTTTCAAACTGTCAGTTTGAGATGAGCCACAACAGAACAATTCAGCTATTCAGCAATTCTCTTTCTCTTTGTGAACATCTGTTTACATGGCCTATGTCCACTCTACAGGGTGCAGACATCTTATCAGCTGCACAGCAGTTGAGGTTTAGGACCCAACATCTTTTGTCCTCTATGACCTTTAGAATTCATGTGACACACAACTTTGGGGATTATTTAACCATGGTATTAGATCTTATGCAGTTTGCCTTTTGAACTGTTTTTGAAGATCAAGCTGTAGTTGGAACAAGCATGAACTGCCAGGAGAGACTATAACAAAACATAATGTGCCATTGCACTTGTCTTTTACTATCTAGTGTTTCCTTCAGACAGATCTAGTACTGAATGTGTTTCTGACATTTCCAGTTAACCTTAAATTTTAAAGACTTTAGCACCTTTGAGGATCAAGCACAAATTAATCTAGACAGCACACTTTTTTGAAACACAAATGGTATTCCTAAAGATTAACACCTTTCCAATTCTTTTCTGTTTTTGTATTTTTGTGGAAAAAATGTTCAGCTACTAAACAACTGTTTTGTTATCAGTCAAATTGTACCATCAAAATGAAAGCAATAAATGTGTTAGTGCTTCTCTGAATATTCTACAAGTAATTTTTTTCTGCAAAATTGGATGTTTTAGAATATTTCCTAGAAAACCACTATGTTTTCACATCTATTTGCTCCTCTCAACAATACTTTACTGTTGACTATGGCCTGAATCCTATTAGTCCAAACTAGAGTAAACTCATTAAATCAATGGGTTATTTCTATGTATTGACTCAACACCACTCAACAATTGATATTATGGGCATACTCAAGTTATGAGTAACCAAAAGGATTCATCTCTCATTTTGTTTCAGGGACCCTGATACCAGATTGACTGAGGTCATACTGGATGTAAAATGTTTAAATTGTTTAAATCATAAGATTACAAAGCTGATTCAGAACATGAACAATACCTTGTACCTCATTCTGAATTGCCTTCATAATGGCACTGAATAGCCGGTGGGATCTGGCTATATGATATAACAGGGAAAACAGGAATTCAGAAAGATGTCAGAGAGGGAGTTATGCTACCAACAGTATTTAGCAACACTTCATCCCACCAACTTTGAAAGCTGAAGCATGTTATTTTCTGTGGAGAGAATGCTAAGCAAATATATACCTATGTTTTGGCACTAAAAGTGACTGTCCAAGGTTTCAGTTTTATACATGCTTAAATGGGGGGCAAGCCAGTTAGGTCTTTGTTGTTGTGTACCTTCATGTTGTTTCCAATTTCTGAGCACCCTGAGGTGAACCTATCACAGGATATCTTGGCAAGATTTGTTCAGAAGTGGTTAGTCTTTGAGGCTGAGAGGGTATGACTTGCCCAAGGTCACCCAGTGGGTTACCATGGCCAAATAGGGATTTGAACCCTGGTCTTCAGAGTCATAGTCCAAAGCTCCAACCACTGCACCACACTGCCTCTTCAAGTCTTACTTCTCCATAAAATATGCAGATTTCCTTCCTTTATAACTGTAAGTTACTGTTAGACTATTATCACACTTATGCCACAAGATTTTTAAATATTGCTGTGACAGTGTTGTGTCAACACTGCTGTGCAATGTGGTCATAAACCTCAGTCCTCACAAACCCCTGAACAGAATACTTGAAGTGTCAGCATATTTGTTGGCTGGCTTACTTGATTTCTAAAAAGATGTGTATCCCCAGTGTATGTGTGTGTATGTATATATATATATATATATATATATATATATATATATATATATGGCACATCTCAACCTGATTTTTCCTTAATTTGTCCTTATTGCTATGTGTGATTCATTCGTTCAATTGAAGCATTTCTGTCCTGCATTCTCTTATCCAAACACATATTGTGCTAGCATATAATATGATTATTTTCTTTTTGGTCAAACCAGACAAAGTGACTCATAAGCAGTTGATTCTGTTTTTCTGTAATTACTTTTGTGAATTCAGCAGTGGTTAGAGTTGTGACTATACGGAGCATGGGAAATAAGCAAGATGAACTTGAACTCCTAGCACAAC